GAGGGGAGGAGGGGTGAAGGGGGGCAGGGACAAGGGGGAAAAATGAGAACTAAGACCTGTCATGTAAGGGTACAAGATCCCAGTAATGAATGTAACTGTATTGTATACCTAGATTGTACCAATAAACTCAATTAAAAAATAAGTAAATAAAAGTGACTGAGTCACTCAATAATATTAATTTCTTTTGCCTTTAGGATTCAAAATAAAGATAGCTTTCAGGTAAAGGTCATTGTCTTGTCATTACCCTGACAACAGCAAAAGAAACCCTTTCCTTTGCAAGGGATAAAGAAGGAAGAGTAGCTTTTACTCTCCCACAATGTCCCTGAGATAGTCAGATATTACAATAATTACTAGTACACGGGCCTAGTACAGATTAGCCCTATTCTGCTATTCAGAGATACACAATGGCTTCCCGCAATTGCTGTCAGCCACACAGTAGTTGTGACACGGTTGTCATGGCCTGCCTATGCATGAATTTGGTCATAGCTGTTAATATTAATACTGCTTTAATTTACTTATGTGTGTTGTTGATTCTGCCTGAGTTGCATTTAATTGCTGTTTTAAATGTCTTCAAAATTGCACTATGATTCAGCATTGGAATGTAAAGTCACTGTGGATGCTGAAAGGCACCAAGCAGAGAAGCTGGGTATACATTTCCTTTTAGTTAAGCAAGTATATTTGCATTTATATTTTCTATAAAAGTAACAAAGAACTTCTTCCTCAAACCTAAAAGAACATAGGTTCTAGTAGATGAATTTTTGTATTGTTACTGTTTTACCTTTGGAAAAGTGTGGACATTGATGATCTGAATCATTCAGATGAGTCAGACTCTTAATGTGAAGCTTTTAGGAGTAGTATATTCAAATTATTTTTGCCATATTTACCTTTTAATGTATGCCAAGAGAGATAAAACATTTTTTAAATTTGTCATTGTAAGTGGTCAGAAAGCAACAAATCACTGTTTTCTTCATGATACATTAAAATAAAGAGGAAAGATGCCCTTTACAAGAAAGTGACATGTAACTTTGTTGAACTCAGAATATACAGAGTTGGCTTGGGGGTTAGAAACCCATGAAGAGAAAAATGATCATTCCTCATGGAGTCTTGATTGTCCTCCTCAGTGGTTTGCTGGAGCAAGAAGCCATTCTCTGAGTGAGAGAATGGGTCTAATGCTACCAGACTTGCCAAGGGCTTGGAGAGAACCCATTTGAACTTGACAGCCAACTTACTAGGTGCCTGTCAGGAGCTGCTCCTCTGCTAAGGCGTAAGGCACCTCATGGATCTTCTCCAGTCCCTACCACAGTTGTGAAAGCTCTCAAATGGACAGGCACTGCCCTTTTGGAAAACAGTTTGCCAGGATATAACAAAAGATAATACATTTTTCAAACCCAGTTGAAATGAACAAAATAACCTGTCCTGTCTTTTGACTTAGTAATTTAGTGTATAAGAATTCATGTGTGAAGCTGTTCATTGTCATCAGAGTGAAATTTATCTTAGTGAAAAGTTGGAAGAGACTTATTAACTGTCAGAATAGAGTGCAATAATTTGTGGTATATCCATACTTGGTGCAATAGTATGCAGTCTTTAAAATAATAATCACAAAAGTTACAGAGCAAAATGGAAAATGTTAATGAGAACAATGAGAAAACAATAAAATATATACAGTTTATCTGCAAGATACAGAATTGTTTGTTAACATGGGCTAGCATTAGAAAAGAATAATTCAAAAATAAAAGTAGTTGTGTTAAGGTGATATAATTATGGGTACGTTTCCCCCCAAATTTTCTTTTTATAATAAAAAGGCAAGAAAACAGGAAAGGTTTCCAAGAAAATGAGTCAGTAGCCACAATAATTATTGAGGTATATTGAGAATATAAATTGTTTTCAGAACATATCTAAAATTACCCAGTCACGTACTTGCCACACTGAGATGTTAAGGAAGCTTTGGGGTTTCTTTTTCTTCCCTTTCCCTCCTCCCACTTAGAATTTGTAATTATGTATTTTCAGAACAAAAGTGCTTTCAATTCAGGGAAGTTTTAGAAGCTTCTTAAGCAAATGATGATAATATAAAAGGTAACTGTCCAAATTTGCATTCATACAAAACATGGAACTGCGATGATTTTAGAATAAATGCATTTTAAATATTTTCTAAATACAGAGCTGTTGCAGTCCTAACACTACTTGTCCAAGAAACTGCATTTCTATGATAGGCCATAATTACTCTTCGAAAAATTATTGGGTTTAAAAATTACCTACCTAAAGATGCCCAAAGAGAGTGAGTTCCACTTGTCCTTATATATAGAGTCTTATATTTGTAGTCAGTTCAGTAGGGCCCTTTTTTTTTCTTTCAAGGTATTATTGGTTTTTATTGCAGGACAAAAAGGTATAGCATGACAACCTGCACACTTAAAATTCTAGAAAATACTTCTCTCTCAGGTAAGAGCCTTTGGTTAAATTGTACAGAGGGCTTTGACCATCAGTATTGCTTTTACCTTTTTCTTGTAGTTGTTTTTCATAGGTCAGCTTATTTATTGGAATTTCAGGCCTAAAATTCTAATTAAAACTGATGATTAGTAGTCAGTTGTGTGATTAAATATAAGAACCGGCGGGGGGGCAAGGATTTAGCTCAGTGGTTCCACCACCTGCCTCACAAGCACAAGGACCAGAGTTCGATCCCTGGTACCCTCCCCCCAAATAAGAGCTGGAAAAGTTGATGCAATTTAGTCAAGTTTTACCAATCTGAGCTTTTCAACCTTGTATGTGTTAGGCTGCACTCCTGGACACATTAGTAAGTGGTCATTTTTCTGGATTCAGTGCTCTTCCTGCTTCCTTTCATTACATTAGGCAAGGTTCCACTAGATGAGACATTTGTAGTCTTAAGACTTCCTGCCGGGGTTCAAACTTTGTATTTTTTTATATTGAAGCTGTCATGTTCCTGAAGCTATTTAATTAGAAACACATCCATTTCAGTGTACATTGGAAAAAAGCTTGGACAGTAGAGCCAGGCACACTGGGAAGTTGTAGCATTTGTGTAGCTGGCAGCTAAACTAATGGTTTACAGTTTAAGGGGAAAAAAATACTACAGGGCATTTCCTTCCCCCTAGAAGCAAAGAGAAGCTAAATGTGGCCAGCAGATACCTTAAAAAGAAAGAGAAGAAAAAAACAAAAAAACAAGAAAAGAAAGGGTAACTCCACTTTCATTGCAGTTACATGAATAGTTTTTTCTTTGGCTCTTATCAAATACCAAAAATGCAAGTCTCTTAGAAGAATAGCTCCCAAACTATGCTGCTAATATGAAGTCTGTTTTACATGCTCTTGAAATCTGTAACTGCTGAGATCTATAGAAAGGAGGGCATTTTATATTCTGGGGAAAGATTTTGCTTGAGGAATTTTATTTATTGAATGATAATGAGGGAATTGTGCCTTTTCTTATTTTTAAATGTTTGAGCAATTGTAAAATGTGCATCTGATGTTTAGAAACTTCTTTGCCTGGCCATTGCTTTCTTTGATACTGTATTGCATTGCAAGCAAACTTCTCTTGCCTCATTACTCAGTCCTCCTTGTCTCCCTGACCTTGTCCCCCAAAGAGTCACCCTGCCCATCTACTTTGACACCCCCACCTGGTCCAGAGGAAAAGTGTCTGGTCACCCCAGTCTGAGATATTTATCATCTTTCCTAAATTCATAAAGAAATACCCTCTGCACATCTCATAGAATATACCAAGTATTGGAGAGACATATGGAAAAGTTACCAGTTTCTACTTTTTCTACTTCTTGACCTCCCTACTCTGCCCCCAGGAACTACATGCATGGGAAGAGGACCTTGGGATTGTAAATTTCATGACAAAAAAATCAGTGGTGACAGCAGGGAAGACGTGCATACACTTTGGAGTAAAAGCTCAGTTTACCACTTAATTGGTTTTGTGCCATTAGATAAATAATTTAACCTCTCTCTAGTCTATTTCCTTCTCTGTAAAATGAAGGTTACACCTACCTCAAAAGGTTGTTATGTATTTTCTCAAAGGTGAATGTAAAAGTTTTTGTTTATTTGTTTGGTTGTTTTTTTTTGTTTTTTTTTTTGTTTGTTTGAGACAGGGTCTCACTATGTAGTTGAGACTGACCTGGAACTCACTATGTAGCCCAGGCTGGTCTCGAACTCACAGCGATCCTCCTGCCTCAGCCTCCTGAGTGCTGGGATTACAGGCATGCGCCACCATGCCCGGCAAATGTAAAAGTTTTCATATAACCAGTAGCACATTTATCATTGGTAGGTAACATCACAAATAGTCATGAAAACAAAAGAAGCATTCATCGGTCAACTCAAAATGCCCAAGCTTTAAAACTACTGGAGTTGGGTTCTCATCCTTATGGTTAATCACTGTTGGTCTGTGAATGAAGGAGTTATCAGAGGCTTTGTGAATTGTGTCATCACATAGCATGTGTGCCACTGGGGTGGAGAAGCTTCCTGGCAGCACTCCAAATACTTTGTTTCGTTAGAATGAACAGTTAGGTCCTATCTCTTGATGGCAGAAAGAAACATTCTCCTTTGAACCCATTATACCCTCTGTGTGACTTCAACTGCATTTTCCACTATCATACAATCATAGTTCCCATTTTTATTGGGAACTTTACTAGTTGCATGAAGTATATGTGTTTCCTCTTGTTCTAGTAATAACATGCCAGGTTAAGTCCATTCTCCCATTTTAAAGTTAAAGTGACTGAGGCTGTGCAGTTTGCATCGCTGCTGTTTAGGGACTAACTGCGAGGTTGATGTTCTTCCCACTAGCCAAACTATTTCCAGTGCTACTGCGTTTTTTTAAATTCTTCAGAAGTTTCTAGGCTTGGGAACAAAATGTCATATTAGGATTTTTGTTGTGAAAGGAAATGTAACTGTGCATACGTTTATTAAGACAGTTTTTCTCCAAATAGTGAACCATCTGTAATTTTCTGTCAAAAGCAACAGACATTAAAGCAGCTGTGTGTCTCTGTTTCTTTTCACAGTGCTCCCATGCCCTACCTCATAGGAATCCATTTAAGTTTAATGGAGGTAAGTTGGCTTCTTTCCTCCCCAATCCCTCAACTTGGGGTTTTGTTTTGCTTTGTACAGTGGGAAGATAGTCTCAGAATGCGCAGCTGTACATAAAGTAGTGGGTTGAAGCACAAGCTCATGTGTGTTCCGTCCCAGGTATGCAGAGCTGAGCATTCTGCTTAGACCCTTTCCACTGGCTCTTAATTTCAGGGCTTTTCACTTTGCTTAGAAATTGTGGATTTTCATGGGTGAGGGAGAGAAGGTCAGAAAGCAGAAGGAAATTATTCTATGAAGGTTTGAACAAGGGAAGCAGAGTGGTTCAATCTTCATCATGATATAGATGCTAAATCGCTATAACAGTATTACATATTTTCATTGTAGGAAATGTGACAAATATAAGTCATATAAATGTGATATCGTATATAGAAGTAGGAAGAATATTAAAATCATCTACAATACTATTATTCTAGGTTGAACCACTGTTAGCATTTTACTGTTCTATCCAGTCTTTATTCTGTAGATATGCATTTTATGTAAATGTACATAATTGATATGGGATAAACACATATAACTTATGCCTTTATTTCACTTAACATTATGACAAGAGAATTTCTACATTTCTGTATCTACTTTTAGTAATAATTTTCAATGTGTTACCTATCATTCCAACGTACCATAACTTAGGCATTCTCCTGCTCCTGGACACTCAAGTTGTTTATAATTTTTTCACTATTATAAATAGCATTTCAGTGAACATCTTTATGCATAAGGCTTTATCTGCATTTTGACTTATTTCCTGAGCATAGAATCCCTAAAGTAGAAATGCTTGGTCAAAGCTATGAATTTGATGCCAGATTGCCTTCTGTATGGCTGTACCAATTAGATAGCAGTTCTCTTAAAGGACTTTTCGGTGCTTTTGTAAGTACCATTAGTCTGTAGCCTGTAGCCATGAACTCCTAGCCTCTTCCTGCTCAGGAGAGAACAGACATTATACCAGAGCAGAACAGGGCGGGGGTGGGTGGCTGGCCTGGGTGGCTCAGGAGATAAGCTCTCGAGAGGGAATCTACAGCCATGTCAGTCTGTGACGGTACTTTGCATGTCTTAAAGGAAGTGCTACTTCTCTTCTTCTGTTCCCTTCATTTCACATCGACGAGGACCACCTGCTTCGCCACTAACTGTTGCACACTGTGCTATTGTGCTTACGAAAATGAAACAAGTTGGTTATCGAAAAACCTGTTTGTTTGACATTGAGAATCTTGATCAAAATAGACCACAGAAATCTGCTCAAATTTCTAATTTGACAGGACGGCCATGTGGCTCCTACATTCTGTTAACAGTCCCTCCCTGTCATCACCCAGCCCTAAGCACATACAGTACACAGTTTATGGACTATCTTGGATGATGTATTTAGATCAGATTAAAGAGATTTTTTTTCTCTGTTTTACCTTTGTTTGTCAGGTTTGGGAGGGTCTTCTCAAAGCTTCCATATAAAAAATTAAAAGTGAAGATTTTCTAATAGACCTTCTCTGCCAATTTCTGTAGGGTTTGAAATATTAATCTAAAGATGACTTGGTCTATCAGCGCCTTCTACCTTCTTCCTACCTTCCAGTCTACTCAAGCACAAGTTTTTTTAGACCTTTTTGTGTCCCAGTGTCTTTGGCATTCTCCAAGTGCCCAGCCTTGGCTTGCTTTTCTTCTGTACATGTCCTTTAGTCACCTTGTTTAAGGGTTTTTGCTTCAGCTACCAAGTTAAAGTCAACAACTCTCAGCTGTAATTCTAACACTGCTCTGCCTCTGAACATCAGCTCCGAACTTTCAAGTACCAGTTGTGTTTTACTTAGATGTCTCCCTCAGTCTTCCCTAAACAGCTTCTTGTCTGCACTTGCCTGTGCACATGCATAACCCCCACACACATGTGCGCACACACTCGGTCGTTCAACTCTTCCAGTATTCCAGTCCCTGGGAGTGGCACCAATGTATGCAAAGACACCAAAGTGGGACCCGATGTCTGTGGCTGAATTCTTAATACTCCCCAAATCTCTGAAATGCCTTTTGCCTCCTTGCTTCATTTGTTCCTTCATTAACATTTTTTCTTTGCTTGCATGGATTCTTACAAAGCCTAATCCGTGCATTCGATAAGCAAAGGGAGAACCTCCTATGTGCCAAGCATTGCGCTAGGTCCTCAAGGTGTAAAAGTGAATATAAAATTAATTCCATAGTCTCAATATGGATTGGGTTGCCTCCCACCTGGTCGCTGCTTCAGGTGTCCCACCTTCTACTTTCCCTCTGCACTGCCTCTGAATTCTGCATGGGTTTTCCACTGCTGTCAAGACTTTTGCTGATCACTTCAAAGTGCTTGTTAGTTGGCACTCCAACTGATCCCTAAGCAGATCCACATTCCCACACTTCTGCATGGAGAAGCCTTGCTCTTCCCAGCTCTTCCATGAAGTCCTCTATTTTATCTTGTTTTACTTATAGAACCTCTTAATCTGAATGATAGCTGTTTGCTTCCTTCTCCTTCTCTGTCATTCCCCAGAGCATGAGTGCTTTGGGGAAAAGACCTGTGCCTCATTCATTCTGGTGGCCTCATCACCTTTAACAGGATGCCAGGCAGGTGATACTGTCTGAGTGCTTAGGGGCTGTAATTGGGAGCACATTTAGCAGCTCTCCAGTAGACATCACAATTTGCAGGCAACCTGGTGACATGATTCTATGTAAAAACAAGGGAGGTTAATATTTTACTATGTATATGATTGTAAGTGACTTAAAGTAAGGCCCTTTGTAGTAAAATATGCATGCATTTTTGAAGATATAACTTGAAGCAGAGTTTTGCACATAGGTGAACAGATATAAATCTCTCTGTTCAGCATTGGTGGTGTTTTAAATGCTAGCCAAGGTAGATACTGGTTCTGTTGATTGCCTATGGTTGAGGAGGAGTATGCTGTACCAAACTCCTCTGTGGTATGCGCCAAAGCAAAACAAACATGGTAGATGTCCTACCCTTGAAGCCATTTTCTTCCTGGGTGCAGTGGGTAGCCGTAAACTACCAAATGTTGGAATTCCTAATCTCTTTTTTTTTATTTATTTTTTTTTTTGGTTTTTTTGAGACAGGGTCTCACTATGACCTGGAACTCACAGTGTAGCCCAGGCTGGTCTCGAACTCAGCGATCCTCCTGCCTCAGCCTCCCAAGTGCTGGGATTATAGGTGTGCACCACCACGCCCGGCGGAATTCCTGATCTCTTGCCCTGAGTTTCACCTCAGAATTGGACGGCCTGACTTGTGCTTGCCAGTGGTGTTTATTTGGCTCTGTCACACTCTTCAGTGCTAGAGACACTTGCCCACAGGCTTTAAAGCCTGAGGAAGAATACAGACCTGTGGCCAAAAGAGATCTCTTTAAGAAAGGAGTGTGGGGAGGCCCATCTCCTCTCACTACACTAGTTTTCTTACTGGCAATTCAGCAAAAGGCTTATTTTTGACTGTCTTGTTATTTTTTCTTGAAAGCTATAGGCACCTTATTATGCCTTTGCATATGTGCCAGAATTTTTTAAACTTCAAATGAATGTGGCAGATGTTCATAAAAGTTTAGAAAAAGCTACCATAGGAAGACTTTTTAACCATTTTTATGACACTCAAATTTGTTGCACAAAAAGAAATATAAATTATAAACTAGTATTCTCATTTGAAAAAAGGTTGTTTTGGGCTAAAACCTGATTCTAGTCTTCAAGCTTGAACAGAATGTTGTTGCTGTTCGTTAAATGGTAACCTTGAACCATAAAGAGTCCACTTTCCTTCTAAAGTGACAAGTCTATAGCTGATCATCATTCTTCTTTCTCCTTCTGCCTTTTGATATTCTTTCTCTCATTTAAGGAATTCAAGGCTAGTGGCAAGTTAGCAGAATAGCCAAGGGTATTGGCATAGACCTAGCTTCTTCTTGGAGAGAATGATCATGTTAGTTGGCAGCTAGGAAATCCCAAAACATGGCCAGATTACACAGTGACTATTTCCTTTCATTCAACTGATCTCAATTTAGTACAGGCGACATTTATGCAGTCCCTCTTCTGTGCCATATCTGGTAGCAGGTGCCAGATCTTGTCTGGTAGATGATGCTTCTCTTTTTGATAAATGATGACCTTCCTTCCAAGAATCACAAATAGTGCTTAGTGTACAGACTTCAGAGTGACTTGAGAGATGTATTCAGAAGACATTTAATATTGTTCCTGATGGTAGGATGGTCAGTAAAGAGGAAGGAAAGGCAAAAGTAGTGACATAGTTCCAAAGAGATGCTCAGGCTAGCTTGTAAATGAAGAATGAAGCTTCACAGGTATCCTGAGGTAGTGAGGTGTGGCATCTAGAACATGGGCCCTGGATTCTGGCTTTCTTATTTCCATTCATACAGTCTCAGACAAGGTCACTGTTCACTGTAGCTCTGTTTTCTCACCTGTAAACTAAGGGTACTGGACAAATTGTCTTTATGGGACCATTGGGAGGATCCAGTGACAGGCATCGGCTTGTCAGATGCCTGACATAGTGCTTATAAAGAATTACACAAAATCAGCTGTCATTGCTATTTCTGTTTCTTCTGTGGCCTTAAATCCATTTACATTGCTAAACAATGGCTTTGACATGGTGTTTTAGGAACTTTAAGGTTCCCAGGACCATCATCTTCATTCCTTAGGGAAGAGAGTTTCAATACAGTTGGTTTGTGTCTGCCCTGTTTTGCCCTGGTTTGCATTGGAGGAGGCACTATACCAGGGTTGGGAATGACATTTTTGTAAGGTTTGATTTCCATACGCCTACCTGACCATTTCCTTCTTGTTGTTAACCTCATTCATGATACCTTGACTTTCTGGATTATATTCTCTTCTCCACAATGGCTGAGTTCTATAGTGGTCCAGCATATCCTAGTATCTGGCACGTGGTAAAGATTCAGTATGCAATCCTTCCCACAGCAGTGTGTCAAGAGTCTTTTGTCCAGACACTACATTATACCAGGAATTCTGTATAAAATAGTGACTAC